CTTATTAATTTCATCATTTCCCTCAGCATTCACATCATCCTTCTCACCATTCACATTTATTTACTTCACACTCATTCTCATTTATTTCTTCACAATTTTCTTCATCATCATCAACTACTCCACACTCTTTTTCATTTTCATCTCTCATTCCATCACACCCATTTTCATCTTCGCCAATGACTCCATCACACTTATTCAGTCCTACTGACCCTCCACATTGACCTTCACCATCTTGAGACACACTCCAGCACCTCTCGTATCATCTACACAAATATTAATCTCTAAAACAACCCAATCTATCATCCTAGATTCTGTACAAATTCACGTGTGAACTTAATAAAACAAAGCAACCACCTTTTTTGACATAAAATCTCATGAGCCTTTTTAACCCTTCCCCTCTCTGCAACACTATTGAAGTCCTCAAGACAAACTGCCCTTACGTCAACATCTAAAACTACACTCTCCCCTCCAATATATGCTGAGTAACTTGGTCCAATGTCAAAAATACCCCCATAATGAAGACCAATCTATAAATATATAATTTGGAGCAACAACATTTAATTTTATTATATATAGGCAACATTAAATTATATTATTTATTTTCCCGCCTAAAGCAGTTACAAAACACCAAATTTAATTTTTTTTTTGTTTTTGTTTGGCTTTTCTGTAATCAACTCCACAAAATGTAACGTTTTCTTTGACTTTTTCAAAAAATCTCTATTTGTAATGGAAATGTGTGACTATCATGCAGAAATTATTATTTTAATTTTTTTGCTTTTTTTTTTCTCTAATCATCTCAATGTGTAACAAATGTGTCGGCATAAATCATGCAAAATTTCTTTGGATGACAGGTTTGGCAGAAATCATGCAAAAATAATATGCAGAAATCAAGAACATTATTATTTACACTTATATTTTTAATCATTTTATGATGTATTAATGTATCATATTAGTGTTATATATTTTAGATACGTAAAAATAGTCATACAAGAAAATAAATTTTAAAATTACAAAATCAAATGAAACACATATAAGAATATCCAGCTAACTTTTCACACATGTACCTACAAAACAAAAATAAAAACAAAAACACAAAAGTCCTAACTTTTCACACATGTACCTACAAACACAAATTAGTTTCACTTTATAAATACACTACAATACAATGCACAAAATCCTACAACTATTTAGTTATTTTTAATCCAATTTTTAAGAGTTATCTCTCATAAGGTGTCAGTCCTATATGGAAATTTCTCAAGATCCAGAAGTGGGTATATATCAAAGTAGAGATCAATTTTGGCTTCGTGTAACAAATGAATATAATTCTACAAAGCTAAATCCAATGTGGCCAGATTGTCCACAAAGATCGATCCAATGTCGCATGGGTACTATCAATACCGCTATTAAGTTGTTCAAATCCTGCGTGCAAAAAATTGAAAACGCAAACATCATTGGAGCTTCTGAACATGATGTGGTAAGAAAAAAATTATTCATATAATTTAATTTTGCCTTTAACAATATTAATAACTTCTAATGTGATTTATTATTTTATTATAGATGGAGCGTGCGAATATACTATATATGCAGAACCCAAAAAATAAAAATAATCGACCATTCAAATACGATCATGTGTGGTTGATTATGAAAGATTATGCATTGTTCGAGTGCACATCGTAGAGGCGTAACTCCATTTCGTCTCAAGCGCAAGCAGATGCACAACCAGAATCTATGATTTCACCGAATCCAGGGCTATCTAATTTTTCTATTAATTTAAGTGAAATATCTCGTATACATCTTCTAGGTCAAAATTGAAAATGCTAGTGGTGGCTCATCTTCACAACGGCCGACAAGTATTAAAAAAAAAATTAAAGAGAAAACGGGGAGAAGATGTGTTTGCTGTTTTCGAGAGATTATAATGAATTCGGCTATAAAGAGGGATCACGATAGTGACATGATAAGAGAAAAACTTGAAATCCAAAGACAAAAAAAATGAATTGCGAAGACAATTTTTTGTTGAGACCACTACATGGAAAGAGTAAAATAAAATTTTATTGATGGATTTGAATTCTATACCAGATAATCGCAAATGTGAATATTTTAAAAAAAGAAAAAGAAAGAATTTTGAAAAAGAAAAAATTGAAGAACAATCATCTCATGCTCCCGAAACCAATAACACTTTTAATGGTTACAGCGAGTTCTTTCAAGATCTTGATGGATCTGGGAGTGGTTTGGGAGATTATTAGATTACAAATTTTATTACAATGTCATGTGTGTTCTAATTTCTTAAGTCATCTGAATTTAAGTCATGTTGTATTTTGAATTATGTATTTTGTTGTTGTGTATTGTACTTTTAAATTTTAATGGAATCAGTTTTTTAAGGTGATTTTTAATTCATATTTTTATACTACAATAAAAAAAATATTAACAAAAAGTAAAATTAATAAAAAAAATTGTAACTAATTATTAATCTATATCTATATCTATATCTATATAAAGAGGTTGTTGGAAAAATGCATTAATAAAGAGTGTGACCAAATAAATATAATATTTGAATTACTATTAATGTAAAGATCGAAAAAACACATGTGAATCTTTAGTAACAAAATCTGAATCCTATTTTTTTGGTAACAAATTTAGAGATTCTTATGGCAAAATTTGAATACTATTTTTTTCGTATCATATTTTATTTTTTTACTAAAATTTAAATCATATCTTTTTTGGTAACAAATTTGGAAATTCTTATACAAAAAATGTGTCAATTATTTATAAAAATAATTCTAAATACAAATTAATTTAAAAATCATGCAAAGTGGATACAAATTTAATAAAATAGTTGTATAATTCTTAACCAATTCTTCCAATTTTATTGAATAAGTTTTTCTTTCAAAAAAAGTGTATAAATCGGGTAAAAGCACGTGAAATTTTTATTTTAAAATAAAACTGATATTTAGACGGGATGTACATTCAAAATTGTGTCCACAATTTTTGGTAACAAAAGCGGTTCATCTTTGATATTTAAAGTCACCTTATCCAATTATTTAGGAAAATTTGTGTGCAACGTTTCAAATTTTAAAGGCATCGATTTTTATGTATTCTTATGTTTTTTCTTAACCATATTTTACCCAGATTTTGGTAAGTTCATATCATTTTTTTTTTTAATTTCATATCATTTTCTTTAGGAAAGAGACAGTTGCATAAACATTTACAAATTATTTCAATTTTTTATTAGAATTATTTTTAATTGAATTTGTTTGGTAAAAAAATCAGTGAAATGTTAGGAACTTTCTGTTGCATTTTTAGCAAATATTGATGATTTTTTTATTTGGTTTTAAAAAAATATTCGAATCAATTTGTTTGATAAAAAAATCAGTTTATTGGTAGGAAAATCGGTTTCATTTCAGGAGTAACTAATGATTTTTGTCAATTCTTCCTAATTGTAATTTAGAATTAGATTTAAAATAAATAATGGGCAAAAATCCCTAAAAATTTCTTCTTTTTTTCTACTATAATTTTGTTTAATAAATAAGATCCTTTAATTTTTTTAAGAATTTGTTAACTAATAACTTATAATAATAATCAATTTTAGATAAAATTCGAACACCTATGTAGTACTTTACGTGCTAAAGAATCAAACCAATAATGTTGTACATAAGGAAGTGTTTAATAACATATAAATTTATTTTCATGATATTTTTAATGTCATGAGACAATTTTAATGCAAAAATACCTTTGAAAAAGCAAATAGATTATAAATGCTTCCGTGCATCGCACGGGTATCGTACTAGTTTATTTAACATAATAGTTGATTAATTTCACACATAATAAAAAACATTACATATAAACAAAACAAAAAGAAAATGAAAGAAATAGTAGAGATGCTATGGAGATACACTGTTCATATATTTGTTATGGAGTAGATATACAATGCAGCACTGGGGCACGTATTTTGCTCCACCTCAGCGTAAATCAATGAAATAGCGCAGCACTGGACTCGCTCTTAGTTCAGGAAATGTAGAGCCAGCTGCTTTTGTACCACTTTAGTTCTTTCAACTCAACCCTCAGTAATGATAACTAGATGAAGATGTCTGTTATTCGTATCTAATGTACTATTGTTTAATCTCGCCGAAGATTCCTGCAGGGTTGACCGAAACGAATCCTTCAGACAAGCTCGAGATCATTCAAATTTAGGCACCCAACTGTCATCTTCTGACCAGAAAGATAGTCTGTCCTCAGTAGCAGCTGATATAACATCAGATGATGGATATAACTGGAGAAAAAATATGGGCAGAAGCTGGTTACAGGAAGTGAATTCCCACAGGGTATTACAGATGTGCATATTCTAGCTGTGAGGTGGAAAAGATATTAGAATGTTTTCCCATGACCTGAAGGCTGTTATAACTGACATATGAGGGCAAACATAACGAAGATGTCCCGACTGGCAAAAACAGCAGCTACATTAACGGGCCTTCGTCTCGTGTTGGGAATTCGAAGATATCAACAGAAGACAGTGGATTAACTGGGGGTTGGAATTAACCATGCTGCTGAGACTCAAACCAACAAGCAGGTTCACGGACTCGGACTGTATGATAATGCAAGCTTGATGATTGTTGAAGCACCAAATCCCACCTCATACACTACTCTAAATGATAGTGTAATGTCTTTTTTTCACTTTCAGACTCTCTCAATATCAACAGATTCATGTGGTTATATTTTCTCAATTCATGCAGAAATTGGAAATAAAGTACAAATATCTCGGTCTAATCTCCAAAATCATTCAAGTCCAACATATATATACATATATAATAATCTTGAGTTGGGTCTTTTTTTTCCAAATTCATTCGCATTTCAACAATGTTAGAAGTAGCCGTAGCTGAGGAAACTAACACATTCTCACAAGCACATGATCTCTAAACAAAGAAGAAAGAACACACTACAACACAGCCAGACGCTGCTAATTCTGCTCGTACCAAGAACTCACCACACAAAAATACTGGAAAAACTTACACCCATGCACAAGATGCGACCAAATCCCGATTCCTCCATCCGAGATACAGACACCCATCGCTCTCCCTAAGCGTGTAGCCCTCATTATAACTCTCGAGCAAACCCTTAATCGTGGCATTCACAAGCGGGCTCAAGGGGAGTTGCCTGAAGCCCGCCATACTAAACCGCAATCTCCACTTGTCTAGCACCTCATGCCGCTCGACTCTCTCCACTCCTTCACACGCTATAATATTCACAATGTCCCGCGCCAGGCAATGCTGCTCCACATTCACCCTCTCCTTGTCCTCCCTCGGCAAGGCCACGTCCATCGACTCAAACACAGCCAGGTAGTAGTCGAGTGTCTCCACAAATCGGGCCACAAACGGGGCACCGCTCGTGTCCAACTCCTGCTCCACCAGAGTCACCACCTTCACCTTCGGGGACAACCTCCTCACCATCCTCAACAACCGATCCCGCTGGTTGTTCCGGGCCTGGCCCACGTTCTCGTCTGCCATGTGGTGCAGCACAAGCGTGAAATTTACTGCCACGGCTTCCTCTGCCCGAACCTCCAGATGGCCCGTCTCGATTTCGCAGCCCGGGACCGAAACCCCGCAGAACTCCAATGAGAGCCCGCACGACTTAGCCAGGCCCGAAAGCCTTCGACCCACGATCTCGAGCCCACCACCCCGCGCGTGGCTCGAAACCGGGTCGTCGATACCTGTGATCCGAACCCGTGGGGGCCCACCGGGCCGGCCTGCAAGGGCCTGGATGAGGGGTGCCCATTGGGCTCCCTGCGCGATTTGGAAATCTATTATGTGTATCTGTGGCTCGTCACGCATGGCCTCGGCTATGGCTCCGTTGGCGGACAAGTAGCCGAACTTGAAATACGGACACGCCTCATACAACAAGTGCATGTAGGACAAAAGATCTGAGCTTTTGGGCTCTTTGCATTTTAAGGATTTGTAAATCGAGCTTCCTGAGAGGGCGAGTCGAGCGATTAGAGCTTCGAGCATGTACGCGCCTAGTCTCCGTATCGGGTCTCCACGGACAGAAACCATCTTACGTGATTCGGACATCAAGCGGTCGAAAGTCGATAGGTCGTTGAATGACAAAGCTTTCGCGCAAGCTACGAGCATCTCTTTTAAGTTCTTGCGGTGAATAATAATCTCTGTTGCTTCTTTTAGTGACAGGTTATTCTGAATGGAGTTGTTGGTGTCCGACAAAGAGTCGTGTTGGGTAACGGAACTCCCGTTGGACGAGAAACTGAGGTTAGCGGATGACTCGTGTCTGTTGATTTGAACATATAACTGTGTCCGTTGATTGTCAACATTGTAGGTAAAGAAGTCGTCTAGGCTGTAAGGATCTAACAGGTAGGACTCGATGAGCTCGTCTAGCGTTTGGCAGTCGAGCCCGACCGGTCCCACTAAATTCTCATGAGACGCCATTCTTGAAAATCTGCACAATTCGCAAACATCCCACCACGCAAGCTTTCGTGGATTCCGACTGGGAGAAAACGAGGCAAAAATCATTCAAGTTTTCAAGAACCCCACCAAAGAAATGAGCTGACGGCATCAAGAAATCACTTGAAACAATTTTGGATCACCATAAAGGTCCTTTTTCAAATCTTAAACTTCATTTGCCAAATTTAGGTCAAAATTAAAAATCCCATCTTTACACAAAAGCAACTCTCATATATATACAAGAAGTAAAATAGTGCAAGAATGAGCAAAAACTACTAACACCCAACAATCAGATGCCTTAACAGAATAATTATTATAATCGAAGGCAACACAGACAAATTAGGTTAAAAAAGGGATTGATTATTACTCCATTAAAGAACACAGATATATATTAGGGCATACCTTATTAAACTCCTCCGCTAGGCGCTAATTGATTGATAAGAACTCAAGCAAAGTTCGTTCATTCTCATCTTTGGGAGTTGATTTATGCAGGATTTGTGTGGGTCTTTGAAAATCCATAGCCGACCTCATTAATATTCTGCCCTTTTTAAGTGCCACTGGGCAGTGACAAACAGCTTCATGTCGCGCGTGCTGCCAAATGCTTACTAGACATATTCTTACCTGATAAACGCGTTTTTAATTATTAGTAGTACTTACTTTTGTTACGATTATTTATTTTGAAATTTGAAAATTGCTTCCTTTTTTGGGTGTGGGGGTTGGTTCATCTTGCAAACGAGTCGAGTTGAGTCGAATCAAGCATTAGTCTTATCGGGAAAGATAGAATTTTTTTTTTGTTCTGAGCTCGAGATCGACTCGATAAAAAATTACAATAACTCAAGCTCGACTCGAAATCAAAATGTTTGAGTTCGGCTCGAAAATTTTTAATTGAAAAAGTAAAAATACAACTAAATACCTATGCTATAATGGGTATTTTAGTAACTTCACATATATCTCGATCCGTTCAACAATGCAAAATATGGGCTCGAGCTCGAGCCGCTCGAGCTCGACTCGAATTTGGTCAAACTCGAACTTGAGTCGAGCTTTGACTCGAGCGCTCGCTAGCTCGATTCGTTTGCAGCCGTAGGTTCAACTTTATTTTCTACGTTTTTTATTTTAATCTCAATAATATTTTCATACCATAAAACTAATTCAATAACAAATTGTTAAAAGTTATCTATTTATAAAAAAAGAAAAGAAAGGAAAATATTTCATAGACAATATATTCAATATAACTATTTGTTGATAGGTGTATTTTTTTTATAGAACAGAGAACACTTAACTATTTATATAAAATTTTAAATAGAATTTTATTCAAAAATAAATAAATCCACAAATCTTTTTTCAGGTAGGAAAGAAAAGTCAAAGTCAGAAGTTAATAGTATGACTCTTGAGTCTTGCCTCGAATTTAAGAAAATGCTACATGTACACAATAAATGTACATAAAGATGTACATAACACTCACATGGAGTGGGGTCTACTTGATTTTTTTTAATTTTAGTGGGTCCCACCCAATGTAAGCGTTATGTACACGTCTATGTACAACATTATGTACCTATAGCATTACTCCAAAATTAATGTGTTAAATTTTGAAATGAATTTTCTGTTCCTTTTGTTTCCAACTTTTCAACAATGGGCTGAGTATTCAAAACGCTGACAGAATTTTGTTTTGTTAGGAGAAAATCAACACATTTATAGCTGATTACAAACTTTTATAATTTTAATAATTCAAACTACTCCTTAAATACTTAATTTGTCGGCATTAATATTTCGTCACCAGCCCGTAATCATGTCGTAATTTGGCACCTAGTTGATTAATGGGAAAGTTATTTAAAAATTCTTAAACCAATTTATGACTTCCTCTTCAATCCTTTTTCAAATTTTTTTCCTTCTAACTCCCCACCCTTCTAATCATTCTTCCACTTAACTCCACATCTTTAAAATCTATATATATAAAAAAATGGTTGATAGAAAAATTCGAATTAGAAACTTTAAATAATTTTGTTGACTTTCTGACTTTCTATTACTGGAATTTTGTTCAAAATCGTTAGTTTTTTTTTTTATATTCACGTGTTTAGCAGAAATTACTTAACAGAAATTGTTGAATTACCTAGAATTAAGGTGATTTTTAATATCACGCACCTATTAATATTGACAAACAGATTTTAAGCAGATTTTAAGGTGATATTCAGTTGTTGCATTGCATAAATCAAGGAATTTAATATTTATCCCATTAGAATCTCCATAATTATCTAATGTCTATCCCATTAGAATCTCTATAATTATCTTCTCAATGATTTTCGGTCAATTCAAATTTGCATAAAAAAAAAAGTATAAAAGGATCACTAGCACCATTATTCCTTCACATCATAAATCGATTTAAAAAAAATACAGGAATTACAATAACATCCCATCAATAAAACAATAACATCACATCGATAAAAAAAAATGCTGCCACCCTTTGGTACCGTCGACTCCGTTAACAGGAGGAACAAACCTTTTTGCGTTTGAGAGCAGTCCGAATTATGAAACGCATCACGAACGGGAGAACTTGAACGCATTGCATATACTTTTTCACGATGCACAGGTAATATTTAGTTTTTTTTACCAACAATAACACGGAGCAGGATTTAAGATATTTAGGGTTTGATAATTGTAATTTTTATTTTTCAATCTATGTCGCACAATCAAGAATTTTATTAGAAATTTTAGTGTTATTTTATTTGTTATTTGTTATTCTTATAAAATGAGTTGAATTTAATTATTTTCAATATTCAATGTCTCAAAAATATGAAAAATCTACCTGTTAATTTTATACTCCTAATGTATAGTAGTTGAAATTTTGTATAGCATTATTATATAAGATACAAATTAATACAAATTTTAAAAAAATATTTTAAATATAATATCTATATAAATAAAAATAAATATTTTACGAAATTAATAATAAATGAATTAAACAATGTATTTTTGAATAAATTTTTATTTTATTAATATTTATATTACAATAATTTATAAATTAAACAAAAATCGTAGATATGTGAGGACTTAAAATTGAACTTGGTAGTTCTTATTTTTTTTTCCGGAACTTGGTAGTTCTTCAATGATGAAAAATCACAAACTGAATTCTTAATTAATTAAATAAAAAAATAACACCAATGTGGATAAGCTACATTAAAGAGATAATACATAATTAATTAGAAAGATAATTAGTATATGAGAATAAGTCACATTTAAGAGATAATGGTAATCCTATTTGAAAAAAAAAAACATTAATTAATTAGAAAAGATAAATAAATTAATGAAAAAAAACATTAATAAATTTCTGTAAATATTGGACGGAAAAAAATAAATTATTATGAAATTCTGAATTCATAATTAACATAGAATAGATAATGTTGGAACAATAAATTGCACTTATCTAAATTGCACTTAATCTTATTGTTACCAACGAAATAGTTACATACATAATTAAATTGTACTTATCTTATAATCATACAAGAGTTTGAATTTATTAAAACTCATTTTAAATATATCCAATGGTTATCAACTACTCATTCTTTAATTTGCACGTGATAGTTAATTCGTGTGTTAGTTTGAATTCATCTTAATTCCTGTATTAGTTTAAAATATCATCACAAGTTAGTTATTTATCAATGTGATTTTTGATTATTAAATTACTATTCAAAGGTTTAGGGATAATAATTAATTGGTACGGGATAAATGATTATTTATAATTTGTTTAAAAAATCATGTGTTAGTTCTTTATCAATGTGATTTTTAATTATTAAATTAATATTTAAATGTTTATTGATAATAATTAATTAGTTAGAGATAACAACAAGAAAAATATGTACAGGATAAATGATGATTTCTTATTTCACGGATTAGTTCTTTATCAATTTGATTCTTAATTATGAAATTATTAATTAATAGTTTAAAGATAATAATTAATTGTGTAGAGATAATATAGAAACAATATGTAGGATAAGTGATGATTTACATTGTGGAGATAATTAGAAAAAATAAGATAATGACAACTTTAAAATAGCACGTGGTTTGTTAATTCATATGGTGTGATTTAGCTGATATATATTGACAACAAACTGACTTATCTTCTCAACTAAATTGCACATATCATCATACAAGAGTCTCCATTTATTAAAACTCATATTTTAAATTATTCTAATGATTATCAACTATAACCCCAATGCCTATATAATGATATAATATAATGATAGTGCTTATCTCATGTTGGCTTATTTCATCATAAACCAGTATTCAATCATGACCAATTATATGTTGTTGTCTCACGTGTCACTAACCGAAAATGGATGAAAATCTTAATTTGTGGCGAAGATGACGTGCCAAAAAATCAAACCAATAATGTAGTATATAGGGAAGTGTTCATTAATATATGATCTTTTCAGTTTACTTATATGTTTGTATGTCTATTCTTATGATCATGATCATTTTGTTATTACACAATTTATATACAATTTGTCTTCTAAAAAACACATAGATAATAGTTTTCCGTGCATCGCACGGGTGATTACTAGTAAATAAAAAACAAATGAAGTTATGACATCATCCCACTAACACTTAACACTATACATTATTTTATTAGTTTCTCTCTCTTTCCTACAATCGTTTTTAATTATTTATTATTATTTTTTCTCTCTTTCTAATATATTTGTTTATTATTTTCCTTTTTATGATTTTCTACTATTATCTCTCATAATAATATTTTTTCTTAATTTTTTGTTAATTAATATAAATATATTTTTGTATAAACTATCTAAATAAAAAATATATATTTTTTACTAATCTTTATTTCATATAAATCTGTATTATACTAAATCTATAAATCTATAATTTTTGTCGTTCAAATTTATACTATATCTATAAATCTATACTAAATCTATAAATCTATATTATACTAAATTATAAATTTCAAACTTTATTAAAAAAATATTTATTCAAAGATC